GGGGTAAACCCCCCCCCTTTATTTTTCCTGTTTTTTTTTTTTTTTTTTTAAAAAAAAAAAAAAAAAAAAAAAAAAAAAAAAAAAAAAAAAAGAAAAATCAATTTTTTTATTTCTCTTCTGCCTCACAATTTGTGAACAAGTTGACGAGAATGAATTACAACAGATCACCCAAACAGTGCTTTATGTTAAAAAAAACATTGCAGGTTACAGACGGATCACATGTCGGTAAAGATGTGTTTATTAACACAACCAAATGAAAGTCAGAAGGATTGTTTGAAGTGAATCAAAACAGGAAGACGAACCAAACTGAATTTACAGTTGCATTCATAAGCCGGTTAAAAAGAATCAATTATACTTCCAACCAGCAAGAAAAAGAAAACGGAAATCTGAGATATAAGCTTTTAACGACTATAGGGAAGCATCTCGTGTGCCATATGTTTCACCATGTCAGGACAACATGCAATACTTGTGGGTGAATGTCACAATAACGATGAGACTTGCAGGAACCCTCAAACCTCAAACACTTCGCAGTATTTATGTCTTTCTGCTTTGTGTTCATTGGAAATATACATAATGCTTTAACTACCAAACTATAAGTTTACCTTCTAAAACATTTTAAGCTGCATTTGTCGTATCAGTTATAAGTTTCTTTTAAGAATGTTGGTTTATCGTCGCCACAATAAATTCCAGTTGATGACGTCTAAATCCCCCAAAATTGTCCGTTTATCAATAAATATAAATAATTTAGAAAATATGACTGAATGCAGGTACTGTTTAGTGACATAAACAGCCATTCAGTCACATAAAAAATTGTAATAAATAGTTCTTGTCATTTTTACAATTATCACAATAACACCACAAAATATCATTATAAAACTTTAAGTCCATATGACCCAAACCTACACCATATATATTATATATATATTACTTACTTGTATCGTACTTCAATAATTGTCAAATATCTATCAGTTCAAGCAGTTCTTTGTGGTATCAATATTGTATAAAGTCATGCTGGAAAATTGATAAACGTGTGATATAATATGTAGGCTGTATTGATAATTTTTTTTTAAGTAAATGTTTGCTTTAATTACCCCAGGGTCAGATATTTTTACATTTTAAGGGAAAGTTTTAAGCATTTTCCAGGCACACAGTGCTATTTTATAGCACAATCAAGTAACTATGTTTCAGTCAGTTGTTATAAAAATGCTGTAATGCGTCAAATATGACTTCAGAGAAATTTTACTTCCTAATATGACGCCTCAAAATTGGGCTTCTGTCTCTTTAAAAACTGCTGCCCTTTCTGAAACTCTGCCTTCAGGAAGTCACCACAGCATGGCTCCTCCTTTAACCCTTTCACAATGTTTGTACCAGCATTTCACTGAGAAATCAGGCAGAGGGTCGGAAACTGCAGGAACGAGAAGGTGGGGCTAGGTGCAATCAGGCGTTTTGCACAGCTGAATGGTTGCCACGGGAGATTAGAGGATTTCTCAAACATGCATGAAATAATCAAGACGACACTCCGGGTATGTTTTTGATGAGGGAATTATATTATAACACGATGTTATGTAAAGCTCAAAACAGTTGATTTTTTAATACTATCCCTATAAAATATAAGAGAAAAAAACATCCGTTTTGTTTCTTGTCCATTACATAAAAATTGGCATATACCCCATGCTGCATCTCAATATTCTGCTGTAAGGTCAAACAGTGCAACTCCTACCTCCACTACAACTTTTTGTTGTTTTTTCAGTTACTTGTCAGATGCTTACCATCACAGGTGAAAGTCACAGGCTGCTGAGATTCAGGGATTTCAATGGAAACTTTGACAGAGCAGTTATTGTCCGGTCCGCTCTCCCTCTGGGCGATGACAGGGCTGAGGACGAAGCCCGGGTTGGTCCCGATGTCGTCGTGAGGGAATCTGGAACGTAGGCTGCAGGAGGAAAAGAAACAAAAGAGGGTCAAGGCATTTTTATTATGTTTTGGTTTTCATGCCCAGTGGGGAAAAAAGAAAATATAACATAAAGGGAAACAAAGGCCAGCCAGCCAGCCATTATAAATCAGATGATCTGGATCAGACTGCTGGATGAATCATGGGGAAAGTCTGACCGGATAGTTTTCTTTGCTAGAAAATGAAAATGCCAAGAAATGTTCTCTTTTGTCCCATTTGCACTCCTCTAAATTGTAAGCTATGCAAATCATTTTTTGTTGACCACCCGGGATGCAGTGACGCTGCCAGACGTTGGCTGGGCGTTGACGGTGTGATCATAGTGAAAGTACATTCCGTGAGCACGGCTTCATCGTCACCCCACCCAAACCAAATACTGTGGTAAGAAAACTCTGTACGGATCTTGGAGGTTAACTAAACTGGAAACGTGTCATCAAGCGAGCGCGTGCGCATTCAGAAGCAGGCCTTCACTTACAAAAGGTGAAAAGCTTTAATTAAACCATGGGTGTTTTTGCTTACTTTTTAAATTTAAGTTAAATTTACTTCAGACTATTAGCAGACTGATACCCGTTAACATACTGTGGGAGGATCACTAGGACACTTTCTTCGTATTAAGCCAGAAGCTGCATTACATTTCTAGTATGAAAAACGCATTGTGACATGTCACGACCAGTCTGATACTTGAGACACCAAATATCTCTAGAAGTGCTTCTACTTGCATATTATAGTAGGTCAAATACCAAATATACCGTCATATGAATTAATACACATGGTGGAAACCGCCTTGCACAGCCACAGAAGCCAACAGTCTTACTCATCTCTGCTCTTGTTTTACAAATGCCAGCAAGCTGAAGTGTATAGGCATTTCATATTCCCAAAGCACATAGACTGTTATGTATGGTGGAGGATCTGTGATGCTGTGGGCTGGTTTTTCTTCCCAGGGAACTTAGAACGTCGTTAGAGTGCATGGTCTCAAACTTTTCACGAAATTTAAAAGAAATGTCTTTTGAGCTCAGCCAAATTACTGAAACTAGATAATCACTGGGTTTTCAGAGAAAGACAATGACTCGTTAAACATAAAAAAAAATAAAAATCATCAAATTGGTTCAACAAACCCAAAGAAACCCAACTGTCTTCTATGGCCAATCTAACGTCTATAGAAAATGTTTGGGTTGAGCTGAGAAAAGAGAGCAGGTGAAAGGAGTCAAAGTTTTAGACACTCTGGAGAAACTGTGCCAAACGGTCAACAAGCTCCCTCTCTGTTCAAAGCTCCTGAAATGTCAAAGACTAAGTGCTGCCAAAAGAAGGTTGTGAAAAGTGTTAACAGCAGCAATGCTAGTGCCAATTGTGGGACGGGTCATTTGGTCAGAAACAATGAGACGTTTCTCTGCTTTGTGAGTGGATTTTCCCCGTTTCTAGTGCCATCACACAACTGAAACAAAACATGGATTTATTAACCAAACTCTTGCACGTCTTTGCCAGAGGTACCAGGCATTTTCTTGGGTGTTGGATGTGATATGCTGTACCAATATTGGTCCATCCATCCAAATCATTAAATTCAATCATTAAGACACTTCCATGAACACAGGTGTACACAACTCAGTACAATGGTATGCTGACTACTTCCCACAATCATCTGGGAAATAATGGGTTGCTCTCAGAAGCTCAGTGAATTCCAAAGATACAATCAGACACATCAGCAACTCATTCTGGTTAGCAGTCACCAGGAGAATGGCTCTAGCGCTGAACGCAAAGTTTGGTGCAGAGGGGATAATGGTGGGTGACTGTTTTTCAGGAGCTGAGTCCATCAGTTCCAGTGATAGAAACTCTTAGAGCTTCAGCATACCAAGACATTTTGGAAAATTACATGCTGCCTACATTGTGGGAAAAGTTTGGGAATGTCCCTTTCAGTTTCAACATGACAGTGTACAACGTGAGTTAAGAGGGGAAGAGTCGGACTGGCCTGTACAGATTCCTGAACTTAATAGATCACTTTCTGAATCAGCTCAAGCTGAGACCAGCATCAGAGTCTGACCTCATATGACCTCCAGACAGAGTGGTCAAAAATTCTCATAAACACATTCCCAAACCATGAAGGAACCATTCCAAGCAGAACCTGAAAGCAATCCTCCCGGAATAAAGACTACTTTCTTCTTTGTACAATACAATTATGTAATAATTGTATTGTATAAACAATATGATAAATGTATCATAAATACTACAATTATTGTATTGTTTATTGTGAAAATAGTCTCATAAGAATTTGTATTATTGTGGTAAATTTCAGTTATTGATGGTAAACAAAAACACAAAGCTGATAGTATTACTGGAAATTTTATTTTTGCTATTTTCTCCACTGTTTGTTCCACATTTGCTTCAATAAAAATCAGTGAATTTGAAAATATGACTAAATAAAGTTACTGTGTGCAGTTTAGTGATACGCAAGTTGTGTCCTGAAGAAGCCAATTTCAAATGGGAATGTTTTTCAAGAATATTTCTATTTGTGGCACTGTGAATGCTGTGCCATGCAGCCATACAATAAGATAATAAAAAAGATATATTTTTTATCATAATATTTATTATCAGAATAGCACCTCAATATATCACACTAAAATTCTATGTCGAAATCGCCCACCGCTATCTTAAAGATGAAAAACCAGCAAAGAGTGGACCGACTTCGTTTAAAACTCTGTAGATTGAGAGAGCAATGTCACTGAAGTTCAAATACGTCTGAAGATAGGCGAGTTTGAGTTTGTACCGCCCAAAGGGAGGTTTATTGTTCTCCTCGGTAGAAACAATCCAGCTTACCTTGCCAAGTCTTTACAAAACGCAACAATCTCCAGGTTTTGGGCGTCCTGTTCCTCCAGCACAGCATTCTTCACCAAACCATTCCCTTTTCCCTAAACAAGCAAAGGATTCACTAAGATTAGAATTAAAAGAACAATTGCTTTTAAAAAAAAATACACAGATAAAAACTTGGATTGTTGAGGGTTAAAAATCATTAAAATGCTTTATATCTTATATGTCCTTAAGTATATACTTCTTCAAAAGAGCTTAGCAAATGTCAGGATAGCAATAGTGAGTTCAAAGACTGATAAAGGGGAAGTTTTATTAGAAACACCTCAGCGCTTATTAATCCTCCAGAGCCAATCAACAAGTCAGAAGGAGCACAAAAACACAACCATAAATCTTTAGAGCTTTTGTGTCCGTGTGACGCTGCCTTGGTTCAACAATGTTTGTTGAACCAAGAGGTTTTAAAATAAAAAGTAGGGCTATCAAAGATATGGAAAAAGAATCTAATACGTAATTTTGCATATTCACACACAGAGAAATAAATCCTGAGACGACACCCTTTGGAATTGCTCTAAGAGATTCCTGGAGGCCGGCCCGCGGCAGAGAAATCACAACTACACTGTGTCTTTTACTGCCGTCTGATTGTCAGCAGCTGAGGAATGCACTTCCTGAGGCACAGGAAATGAGACACGCAAAGACTCCGCCACTTCCTGGGAAGCAAAAGTGCTCAGTCATGGCTTGAAAAATCGGTCAGACCTCATCCCAAATGAGGCGGAAAGAGCTGATGGAGAGATGGAGAGGGATGAGGAGGGAAAAAAATGGATGAAACAAATGTGAAGAATATTGATGACAGATTTGATAGAGAGCTGAACTTAACCAGAGGCTGGATTTACTGCAGAACTGCTTCATTTTGTAAAGTCCCAAACAAGACAGTGAAGTTTGTGGTCTTAATTAGAGATGTACCAAACCAATGTTAATATCTGTATCGATCCATATATCAAAAACTATTCTAGACTGTGTTTTAAAAAGAAGAAACATTTTGAGTCAACTCAAGTCTGTTTTTGTGTATCAAATCGGTATCAGCAGATACTAAACCTCAGGTATCGGAAGTGAAAAAAGTGAATCGACATCACTGGTTTTAATGTGACACAATACAAATAAACCTTTCAGCAACTCTTGTAGTTGTGTTATTAAGAAACCAATGAATGAGAGGCAAGCAGAGGGAAATCAGTAAGGTTTGTTTTAATTCAAGAAAACCACAAGAGATTCTTCAAAAATGATAAGTGAGAAGCTTTTATGGTTAAGATCAGAATAGCATTGATGCGACACTGTAAAGCACCGAAAGGCCAATCTATGTTTCACACCATTTTTTTTCCCCCGCCGGACACCGGGTGGGAACTCGGCGGGACTGAAGTCATGGGAACAGCTCCTTTAAATTCACACGCTGACTAATCTCTCATCTTCTCTCTGCCCGTCCGCTAACATATCACAACGTTGACTGTAAAATCAGGAACACACTGTGCAACATAAAGACCACAGCCTGTTCTAAGTAATTCAGTGAGTAGATCCAAATAAGCATTTTTACACATAATTTGGCAATTTTTGTGTCCACTATTTCAGTTTTTTTTTTCCCATGTTTGATGGCGTTCTTGTCCATGTTTTTGCGGTGAGAGTTTGTATGTGAGCATCCTCTCTGAACATGTGTGGGAATGTGTGTTCAAACAGAGACGAGTATTAGACTCACAAAGTAAATGTGACATTGCCATCCAAGATGAGGAAATGCAATTTTGTTTTTTGGACTTCCTGTTTTGTTTTCTTCCAACGCCTCCAATCAAGAAAAAGGCTGAAGTTCAAGTTCTCACTCTTCAACAACAAATGAATCAACCATGTAGTTATAGTCCTGCCAGTGTAGTCTGCAAGGTTTTTAAAGAATAAAATGGAACATGAAAAACAGCAATTGTCATATCAAAACCCGAATGTTTCATGAAGAAAACATGGCTTCAACCTAGAACACTGTGGCAAATGCCTTCAAGACAAAAAAAAAAAAGAGGGTAAAAATTATTTAATTTTTTTTTTTTTTTTTTTTAATTATGACTAATTGAGTAATTTGTAATAAAAACTGATCACTTTCTGGTTTTCTGATCCACTTGCTGTCCAAATTCTACTCTAAAGTGACAGACAACCAAATAAAAACCCATGACTTCTTGCTTAACAAATGGCACAACTGTTCCTGGCATTTCTTTTTCTTGGGAAACTCAACCTTTTAGATGACAGAAGGAAACTACTATGCAAATCCTTATCCAAACTGAAATGAAGAAATATCACTGCTGTGGTCAACAAAATGTTTAACAATTCCCCAACTGCAAAAAAATTATATATTTTTTTCTAAAATTGATTGTTTTAAAAAGACAAATACATAGTGAGCTTGAGTAACACATTATACTGTCTAAGATGACAAAAAATAAAATGAATAGCTTTTGCTAATTCCACATTTAGTAGTGAAAAACTAAAGGCTCTAAAAAAAAAAAACATTTTCACTAGACGTTGAATCAAACTGCAGCTACACACTTGGATAAAAAAGAAAGAACAAAACAGGGCTCTGCAGAAAAAGTTGAAAGAAGTTACACTTTAATCGTCTGGGTGTGATATATTATCATTTTATCCTGTTACACATTTACTGCCAGCAATAGCAAACACACTGCAAAGTGTCTTGTGAAAAACAGCCTTTTTTCCCCTCATCGGGTATCGGGTTCACCATGTGTGGAACTGAAAGAGGTCGACACCCTGAAAACAAAAACACCCTCCTCTGCTGAGGCATTAAAGGCCGTCTGGATAAACCTCAACATCACTGCGACGTAGAGGCAGCGGATCATGTTGGCAAAACACTTTGGCAGTGTTCAAAACGGGCCATTTTCCAAGCAGAGCGACGCTAAGAAGAAATCGGCTACAGCAAACTGTAAAGTTTATATCGGGGGGAAGCAAGAAGCCTTAAAGCAGAACTACTACTGCTTTCAAAACGGAAGTATCTGATAGCGAATGAAGTCACGCTTCCTGTGATAAACTGAAATCTAGGACTACGAATGGACAAACGGATGATGAAACACTGTTAAATGCATCTTCATTGTTTTTATCATGCACTCTATTAAAGATTATATTTGCATTGCTAAGCTGCAGGTCATTTCTGCTTTCTTCAGAGAAAGGTCAAAGTTTAGGAAGCGGCGTGTCGTTCGTCAGGCGAGTCACAACGGACAGAAATCAATGCAACATCCTCTTACAGACTGCATCGCCCTTAAGCCCGCGCTATCCCACCAGAGGAACTTTAACGTGAGAACCGCTTAAGGTGTAGGTTTTCACATTTGTGCAGAGTGTGCAATTAACCCGAGCAGAATAGAAAAATGGGGCACAGTCTGAAGTGCGGAGGCGTCGTTAAAAGACTTGTGGAGGTTTGGAAGTGTGCGGGGGAAGAGAAGATCTGTCTGTTATGTAAAAAAAAAAAAAAAAAAAAGAAGAGTGCAACTGACATCCTGCAGGTTTCACTTTCTCACTCAAGAACTTGAGCAACAGCACAGATAAATTGGGCCATCTCATAAAAATCAGTCTGCATGTCGAGGGAAAGGTGGAGGAGGGTTAGATATTGCTTCAATAATAGCTGGTTATTACCAAAATGACGTCATTACAAACTAGAAGATGATGTTGATGTATTCAGCTGTAACGTATTGATTCAAAAGTACATTCATCCGAAGAGACGCAACACTCTGGAGCTGACCGTGAGTAACGTGAAGGGGTCTCATCTTAACCCAGACATGGCAGAGTGCAGTAAAGGATGTCAGTAAGAGGAAGGTTTGAAGAGGCGCCAGTCAGGGGTCGGCTGACTGACAAGAAGTCTGTCACTCACTGAGGCATGACACCCAAGCTAAATATAAAGGCGTATTTGTTTGGGTGCTGATCATCATCGACTCAAGCTTTACCTACAAATGAAAGAGTGAAACAGATGGGGTAGGTGGGTGGAAAGGTACACAGCAGCTAGATGGAAAGAAACAGCCACACAGTTTGAAGTCAAGTAGAGTCAAAGTGAGACAAGGGCGGGGGATCAGAAATGCATGCTGTTCTTTCCGGACTGTATGTTGCTCTGGAGTAAAAGTTGCAGTCATTAAGAACTTGTCAAACGTGAGGATGACATTGTTTATGTTGATGAAAGGTTCCAGACAGTGACACATTGTTTTCAGTTGCTAGGAAGTCAGCTGGCAGTTTCTGATGCACCGATGTCTGCGCTCTTGATCAGGGTGGTCAGGAATAACTCCGCTCCGACTGAATCCTGATAATCTGTGCAATCATGTCAGATTTTCCTACGTTAGCCGGTGAAGTGCGTAGCGGAGCAGAAAAGCCTACAGTAAAGGTCTCGGCATAGTTGAGCTGAACTGCCGAAATCAGTTGTCATTGTTGCAGTCAAAATTGCATCATTTTGTTCTCAGCCTCATATTGTCTGCCCCTTTTTGTAAACGTGGACTTAAGCAAAGACAGAATAAATAACCAGATACTAAAAGCTGGTTATAGTTATGTTAATACAAAAAGGTATAAATAATAAGAAGTGGAAGGGGAAAGCCTTAACAATTCACCATTAGTGTACATTTTGCATTATTGCTTAGTCCATTTAAAAAAATTTATACTTCAACTGCATAAAAAAAATCATGTTACATTATGTTAACAGTGAGGAAAGAATTAGTAATAAATCATAATAAAAAAAACCTACATATCAGTAGGACAGCATTCAGACCATTCATTCGGTTTTTTTCTCCTATTCTTTCAAGCTACTGCCTTTCTAGACAAAAAGTACTGGAAAAAAATGTAGACCATGTTGCTATTGTTATTCCAACTGTTTCACCAACATGAGTCTTTAACCCATCTTGGATATCACTCTCACTAGTGTTTAAAAAACACTTATAAATAAAAACAATGATAAACCTGATGGGAGTGCAGATAAAGCCTGGTGGCCCGCCAGCCTCATCATACACTGGGTGAAACCCTGGAGTCACAACATTTAATTTGACTTTGGGATCAATAGAGTATTTTTTGAATTTGAATTGAATTTGCAGAAGGTAATCAGGTT